CCATATCAGAGAAATTCAGGAATGAAAATGACGTTACATACGAGGTTGATGCATTTGTGCATGTCGTACTAAGCAAGGTATAAAAACAGTTGCTTTATGAGGAATTAGTTCGTACCATTGAATATTTGACGCAATAGACAAGTTGTCGCAGAAACCGATGTTGCTATAACCAAGTTTTACTGTATATATATATGTATATTGTTTCCCCAAGTTTCCTGCAGTTTCTGCTTCGCCAGTCTATACCTTGTCTTAATTTTATATTAGCAAGTGTTGAGTGAAGAGAAAAATTGTCGTAACTTTCGCCATTTCTTGTCCACTTTCTATTAAGCCAGACACAGTCTTGAGGGCAATGACAGCTGCTGTGCAGAAATGACGGATGATTTAACCAGTTATTATCAGAAAATGTAAAATCTAGGCCTTCTTCAAATTCGACACAAATTTGCCATTGCTTTGCTATTTCACGTGCTTCATTTCGACTTCCAGTTTGGTGTTTATTTACTTGTGGAGAGCATCTTTCGGCGCGCCGGTTACATGGCGTATAGTCTCAATGCTTTGCGTCTTCTACAGGGTGTCTCTCTAACTTAATCTGAACTCTTTCTTAGCACAGAACTTCTTTATTTACAATTCTAGTTGCGCTGTTATACGGACATTCCTATAATATAGGCCTAATTATTTGCATATAATATTTGTTGGTTATATGAAGTCACTGTCTGTATCGAGACAATAGCGAGGTTAATTAATGAATGTGGAGCAGCTGCTGGACTGAAAAATCGATTTTATGTCATGCTGTGTAGCCCGTTGAAAATCGACCGACGTTTCGGATGAACGTATTGCTACCATCTTAAAGCAGATCTCTGCTTGCAACCTGCTTTCGCACTGGTTTCTTGCTCGGCTCATTCTTCGACCCTGAAGATGAAGGCGACATGTTCCTTCGAAACGTCGGCTGAATTTCAACGGATTACACGACATTGTATCTCAGATGATAATCACCGCTGTGGGAATCTTAAATCCTACGAAAATAACGAAATCTGATATAATCATGAAGGACAAGATACAGCATATAGGGCACTGAAAATGCGAACTTTTGGACCCCGAATGGGCCAAGAATTCACCTTACGAACCCCAAGAGTATGCAATTGTAACTTCCCGCAAACAGAGTTTAAATCTGATTACCTTCAATTTCTCAGTGCAGTGCAGTACGTACACGACTTCGCCAGAGACATGCAATGATAAAGGTAAGGTAAAGCTATTCCTGTAACAGGCCGTGGAGGCCGTCGAGGCCCATAGGGTTATGAGACTCTAGGCCGCCACATTTTCTAGACAAGCGGCTCACACATGGCGATGAAGTTGTCAGCCTTACGCGCCAGCAGCCATTCACCCCCAGGAATATTCCTGGTACTCATTTCTGTTAGAGGCTGAGACGAACCCAGGGTCATAGCTCGGGAAGCAGGATTAGGTCAACTGAAAAATCCAATGAATGACATCGAATCGAACCCTCGAACTTCCGGCTTGTCGCATAGTGCCTCAACCAACTACGTTACCTCGTGCCTCAGAGTCATACAATGGAAACAGTGATACGAGTGATAATCTAGATTTTAAGTAATTTCAGTTTTACACAATGTAATTTTTTTTTTTTATAATGTTGGCCCAGCCAGTTTTCGAAGAGTTCGCTCCTAATGAATTCCGAGTAAAACGAAACACCGTGCCTCAGGGAACTCATTCGGTAAGTTGTATTTTACGCCCGTTTTCTTGGGGATAATCGAAGTATCTTGTTTACCTCAGTCACTCATGCTGCAAACAATCGTTATTAACTGACCTCTTTGTCCCGAAACAGTTTTCCCAACTGATATCCAATCCTTCTCTGGCAGAATCTTTGGCAATTTGGTTTGCACAGTCATAATGTAATCTTAACCTCGCTGCAAATTTGATTAAGAACATCCTTTCCTCCAGAAAATGTTGTCCAAATTGTACAAGACGTATCCGTCTAAACCCTTTTACGTTCTAAACTCTTGAAAACTCTGTTCCTTTCTGATTGACGTGATGACAGTTTTTAGTTTCTTGGGGTGCGGTGAGACTGAGCCTACTTAGTAAGTCGGCCACTTATTTGGTCTATTGTACCGGCCCCGGATGATAGATAATGAATGTGTAGCAGTCGATGGAATGATAATTGAGAGGGGAAACCGAAATATTCGGAGAAAACCTGCCTCAGTGTCACTTAGTCCACCACAAATCCCACATGACCTGACAGGGGCTCGAATTCGGGCCGCCGCCGTGGGAAGTCCGCGGCTAACCGCCTGAGATATGGAACGGCCAACTTAATGATAAATTTCTGCATTTGTAAAAGGACATCAGCCGACTTTTCCCCGATGCTTTCGACTGTTTGTCCAACATCTTTTCCACGCAGTTTCGTACTATGTAGATATTCATACGCAAGAGCCAACAAGAGTGGAATAGCATTTAAAGTTCCAAACAGTAATTACGAAGAGTGCTATCTTTTGGGATATAACGCCGTGTAGTCCGTCGAAAGTCGATCGACGTTTCGGAGGAACATCGCATCCATCTTCAGGGTTGAAAAGTAGGCCAAGCAAGATAATTGTGCAAGCATGTGGCAAGCAGAGCTTCAAATCGTACACAGTAATTACTCATCTCTTCTTTCGTTTTCCGACGAGTACCAGCTTGACCTGTGGAGGTATCTGTTTTCAGATTATTCTCAAACGTGGCTTCATTTATACCAAAAGCCTGGAAAATATATTCTATTTTGTTTGGACACTAACTTTGTATGAGATTTTCTTTATATTCTCCGCTATTTTCTTACTAATTAAGAATTGGAATATCACTGAACAAAGCAAAATATTGTGAATGTAGATCCATTGTTAAGTAATGTGCCAATAAATACGCATTCTTGACTACAGAAGAGGTGTTTTCTATGTGGTCCGCATATATTCATTGCTGGGCAACGGATGCATTTTCTACGGATCCGCCTCGAGAATATATAAGTAGTATAGAACAGAGTGAAGATTGATTGTGATTATGAGTGATTGCAAAAATGCGTTCATAAATAAAATTATCCAATCCAAACCCCGTTACTAGTAGTCACGGAGCCATAAGCTCGTGACGATATTTAAGATGTTATGGATGGTGAGTTCCATAAGATTCAGGAATTCGCCGTTTAAAGCACGTAGGCAAAAGCATATGAGAGCAGAATACCTATTCTTGGCCATGAGCAGGACTCCGTTATGATGTGCAACACTGACTCCTCTGTTCAAGCCATGTGCGGCTGTAACGTGGAAGCGCGTGGCAGGCCTCACGGTTCCTACAGTAAACAACGGAGATAAAACTGGCCAGTTTTCACACTTTTAAGAAGTTCAAATAAAACATCAGGCAGTGTGAAAATATGCTCTTTACCATAGCAACAGAATCCAGAAACCCTCTTTTCTGTTGCAGGCTCCTCGTTCTGCGGTTGTTATATTGTTAATATCTTAATTTAGACTAAGCAAGTTATAGTCCAACAATAAAGTGCAATTCATCTCACGGGCTAGCGTCTTAGTCTCATTCGCAGATAGTCATACGATAGAGCCGAGTTTTTATTGTTTGAAATGTATTATATATGATTGAAAATTTCCTGTGCTTAATTAAGTGAGAGGAAATGAAGATATATCGATGAGTGGAGGTACAACTCCAGGCATTCTTAACCTTGACACTAGATTGACGTGAATAGTGAGCTTGAAACCCCGGCCACTCTGCCTCCCCGAAAGTAGCCTCGGTGAAAAGGTAAAGGCGTGATTAATTAAACAACACTTCATGAAGACGTGTTGCGAAGTGGGGGTATAGCTCCATTGTTCTTAACTTCGGCACTAAATGGAAGTAAGTGGTCGGCTTCACGACCCGTTCACTTTAGGGTTAGGGGAAAAGCCCCCGGTACATTTTGAATAAAGGGCTGGATGAGCTCCGAAGCCGGTCTGGACGCTGTGGAAATGAGAAAAATCTCACAACTCATTCTATTCTTCCATTTCAGGAAACTCTCCGATGGCTTAGGAATAAAATGTTATTGCGTCAACAAAATTTCTACGGAGACGTTTGTTTCGTGAGTTTGGAATTGAAAAAGACTTCTGTTCTCTTGTATACAGAATAATTTAAATTGAATACATCCAGTTTTACTTAGCGATGGTCATCTGATTTGGATGTGTTATCGGTAGACACCAAATTCACAATTTTTTTGGGTGGGGGGCACCGGATGCCCTGCTAGAGGCGTTTCCTTGTGTTCCGTTAATCGCTCAAGGACCGAATCTTTAATGCTCCATAAATTCCGTACGACTGTTCATAAAATCCTCACAAGTCATGACAATTACTATACTGTAATGGTGCTAATTGCCGGTCACGGTAGCCGAGCGGCCTAAGGCATGTACTGTCTTCGTTCGCTTGGAAACTGGGATCGTGGGTTGGAATCCCACTCAGGGCATGGATGTTTAGTTTGTGTGTGTGCGTTTTTCTGTGTTTGTGTACAGATAGAGGCCTTGCGACGAGCTGAGCACCCTCCCAAGGAGTCCTACCGAATGTGTAAGATCTAGAAAAACCGAAGAGAACGGAGAAGTTCATGGAGGTAGGCCTAGGCTCACTTGGGCTGTAGTGCCAAGGGGAAAAAAAATGGTGCTGATCACTATCTCGAAACCTCCTATAATCTTAGGCGGATATAAATAATTTCTTCGCTATTCGATTTTCTTCCTTTTTCAACATCTCTGGTCTCCGATAAAGACAATGTTAAAAAAACCCTTAGATTGTAAATTTAAAACATAATGCATTGTTACCTTCACTTGATTAACCTGTTGTCGTAAAGCTTCTGATAGTTGAGAAACTCACGTAACACTATTTTTATCAAGCCTAGTGGTAGGCCGCGCCATAGCTCAAGCGGTTAGTCGCTGACTTCCCACCGCGGCGACCCCGGTTCAATCCCGGGTCTTGTCAAGTGGGATTTGTGGTGAACAAAGTGGCGCTGGGGCAGGTTTTCTCCGAGTACTTCGGTTTGCCTTGTCAATCTTCATTCCATAAATTGCTCCTCAAACACCCTCACCTATCATCTGGGGCTGGTAAAATAGGCCAGAAGTGGCCGCAGTACAAGGGACTTAGTTCCACCCCACTAGCAAAAAAAAAAAAGCCCAGTGGTAAGAATATTTTGCAGCGGATTTGAATTGTTATTCTTGCCATCTGTACCTTGGAATCATTTTCCAACTGTCTAATCTCATGTCGAGTACACTCACTTCCTCTTCCCTGATACTTCACGTGTTATCTCATGACCCCCTTCCACTTACTTCCATGGCATTCAATTGTTTTAAACATGCCTTGATCTGCTGAAACATCGGGTGTATCCTCACACAAAATTACACTTCTCGACAGAGAGAAAATCGATATGAACTCGCTCCTTCTCTCTCTTGTCCAGTACACCTGCACTAAACTTGCACTCGACAGAATAGCTTTACGGTCGAGTGTGTTGTATTTCTCAGTAGGAAAGCAGGCTTTACTGGAGTCTGAGGCTTTATATTCAGTGTGGAATGGCAGTAGAAGGAGTGCACAGCTTGGATTCCGTACGTGGCTAGGGCATGCAGAATCATCGTAGTCGACCATTGGTTTAGATCTCGTGTGGAGCAGAGCACTGTGCTGTGGCCGTTGTGTTCGGTGTGACATCTGACTGCATGTGCTGGGTGAGTTGATGTTCCTGCCGATCACATGTTTTGTTCTTCAGTCTTGCATCGCGTTAGTTCCGCAGTAGGAAACAAAGAGCGAAACTGGTTTTACAGGATTGTTAATACAGCTGACAGAGCTTCGTGTGTGGACTGCTCCATAATGTGTGTCACACAATGGACTCGGTCCGTGAGAAGACGGATTTCGGTTCTTTGTAAAGGAAAAATATAACTGATTTGCCAAAAGAAAAATAAGCACAAGGAAACAGGAAGACAACTTTAACTTCTGAATTTAGTGACAAGCTTCAAAACACCGATCTCTCGTGGGAGAAGTTTCTAGACTGATAGCTCGTAATTATTCACCGGAATTTATCTGTTGTCAATGTAGAGAATAGTTCTCCCTCCTCAAGACGGATAGACTGAATGTCTGTCACCAAATGACTTGTACTTGGAGCATGTTTCCCATTGTAGTGTGAAAAGTAAATATATTCCTGTGCGTAATTGATAAAGTTCCACCCCATGAAGACGTATGGGGGATGAAAGTATAGCTTACGTACTCCTGACTTCGGCCCTAGCTGTGGATAGTGGCAAGATTCACACCTAGGCCACTTTACTCGCGGAGAAAGAATCCCCGGTAAACAGAACTGGTTGGGTAGGCTCTATAAACGGTTTCGATGATATGGAGAAGAGGAAAATCGCTTTCCCCTGAAGAAAATCGAAACATTTGTAGTGTATATCTATAAATTAGACTTCTGTTGGCATTCAGTTTCTTTGGCTTATTTTTTTATTATTATGCTTCTTTACAATCCACATCATTACAGATTATTAAGTAAATGTATTGTAGGTAGTTAGCTTTCAAGGGAAATATCCAGTGATGTTTCTCCTACATGTAGTCTATTTCATTGATTGATGTCTTGGGGCCATGTTCTGTTCAGTCTTCTTGTAACTGGACCGTTGGTGTATAACTCTTCCGTTGTCATGGTTTACTGTTTGGTTTTTGTACCTTTCAGCCATTCTTAGTATTTCATCTTTCACGAAGTTTATCTTTAGGTCGTTATGGAGTGTAAGGTTGCTCACATACCGTGGTGCGTCTGCAATTGCCCTTAGTGTTTTTGGTTGGAATCTCTGGATGAGATTGCTTGTCGACGGCTCTGCACATCCCTAGAGTTGAAGACCAGAGGACTAAATAGGTTTCAATACAGCTTTGTATAGTAGTATTTTGTTAGTCATAGAGAGCTTTGATTTTCAATTGAGAAGCCAATACATTTGACGATATTTCATGTCAAGTTGTTTTCTTTTAGTTTGGGTGTGTTTTCTCCATGTAAGCCTTTGATCGAGGTGGAGGCCGAGATACTGCGTTTCTGTGTCTGTAGGTATTTGCACGCTGTTCATTGTTACTTGTGGGCACATTTCGTTTCTCGCGGTGAATGTATCTTTGGCTTATAGGCAGAATTTTATGAAGTGATTTTATTGCTTTCTGATCATCCGAAGTCGGCATTTGTGATATAAATATCTTTATTTAATTTTGGGATTTAATAATAATTTAACGTCGATTATCTTCTGTACACACCTTACCGTATAGTTATAGGGAGTTCTACGCTGCTTCATCACAAGTTCAGAATAAAACCAGTAAAATTCTGTGTAAAGTTAGCCCCATATGAAGTTTAGACATTCAGTGCTGATTAAATTGTTTCGATCGTGTTAGTTTAGTGCTGTGGAGGGAAAACGATTTTATTTCCACTGTCAGGGGTTAACGTTTCTTGTAGCAGTGACCAATTGTCAGTTTAGAAAGTTCACGTGAGTATGTGAAGCTCGTTAGGAAACTCGAAAGTTCAAACGATCTTTCCACTTATTTCCGAGTTTTCCTTTCACGTCATTATTATTTTATGTGTTTTGTTGTTTAAAAACAACGAACAGGAGCGGGTCATTTCAGTGCATTCTGACGGACTGAGTTCCAAGTATTTCATCAGTTCGTCCTTGGGGCCTTTGCTTCTTTCTGTGTTATCTATTTCGTGTTCAACATTAACTCCTGCCTATTACTGATCAGCCCGTCCCCAACAATGCGTGTTTGTAACCTCCCCGAAGGTTCGGCGAAGCTGAAACTAAAGATAGTAATGGATCCTACCCAAAACCTATAAAGCCGGGATAGCGCAGTCGGTATAGCGACTGGCTACGGGCTGGACGACCGAAGGGTCGGAGTTCGAGTCCCGTTAGGATAAAAAACTTTCTCTTCTCCACGTCGTCCAGACCGGCTCTGAGGTCCACCCAACCCCTATCCAATGGGTACCCGGGGGGTAAAGCGGCCGGGACGTGAAGCTGACCACTCACCTCTAGCCAGTACCGAGGTCAACAAAATGTGGATCTGTAGATCCACTCCCCCGTACGCCTTCATGGCCTAGTGCTTAATTAGTTAAGCATAGGGACAACTGTACCCAGAACCCATTCAAACCGGGTCACAGTCTCAACACATTTCTCCACAAATCTGTTTATGTGCTACTCTGTTGTGTCATGAGCTTTCAGACTTAACGAATATCCAAGAAGTTCCCCTATCGTCTGTACAGTTACACGGTTACTGCTAACAAACTTACACGTTCCTTTGTTTTAACCTTATGGATATACCAGTTAGTGTACTAAGCGTCCGCTGTCGAGGATCCAGCAAATTGTTCTGTGAATTTAACTTGTGTCCATGTTACTGCTTAATGCAGGGGCCACGCGGTAGCACATTTGGTTGAGGCACTATGCTACAATCCGGAAGGTCGCTGGTTCAAGTCCCGATGAGGTCATTGGAATGTCTTCAGTTGACCTAATCCTTCCGGCCGCACTATCGCCCTGCGGTCGACTCAACCTCTAACAGAAATGAGTACCAGGAATTATAATTAAATAATTTTCCTGGGGAGTAAAGCGCGGTCGGCGCGTAAGGCTGACAACCTTACCGCCATCTTTGAGCCGATTGTCAAGAGATAATGTGGGAGCCTCAACGTCTCACAACCCTATGGGCCTTCAAGGCCTGTTACAGGGATAGCTTTACTTTTACTTTTTACTGCTTAATGCAGCGGTTCCCAAACTACGTGGCAGTCACCGAAGTGGTGCGCGTACAAATTATGGGAATGCTGCAGAACTGAACTACCAACTGATGAAATTCTGTATATAAGCAGTTCAGTTAGTAGTAATTACACAATCCAGATGTCTTCCATGGTAGATACGGGGATACGGATGTGCCCGTCATATGTGCTGCTGTAAGGTGAAGTTGTCCCTGTGCTTAACTAATTAAGCACTACGCCATGAAGGCATATGGTGGAGTGGTTATATAGACCAACGTTTTCTTGACCTCAGCGTTAGCTGGAGGTAAGTGGTGAGCTTGACGCCCCGGCCGCTGAACCCCAGGGGAAAGAGCCGCCGGTACCCATTGGATAGGAGTTTGGGTGGACCCCAGAGCCGCTCTGGAAGACATGGAGAAGTGAAAATTTTCGAACTCCGACCCCTTGGTCGTCCAGCCCACAGCCAGTCGCTATACCGACTGCGCTATCCCGGATCGTCATATGTGCTGTATCCCAAGACACTGAGGGGAAGATGTTCTCCAGCTTACACTGCAGTCGGCATTGAGGAATACAAGAAAGTTCTAAGCAGCGCACTTCTCTAGTTTATAATTATTTTAACTGATACTGTATATTATTGCTTTGTGTCTACAAAGCCTGGAACAGGTACAGATCGATGTTATATGGCTACTGTTATTTGTGTTATACAGGTTTTTAAACTCTGAATTAAGGCCCACACACACTAGAGCAGCCATGTAAAACATGCGGCCCCCATAGCCACAAGGTGCGGCCCCTCAACTTTTAGAGCTAATTGATATTAAAATCAATATTAAAATTTTAGTAGAAATATTTCTTGTAAAGACAATTTTCCAACAGACCAGAAGACAAGAAGTCTCAAGCGGACATAAATTAGTAGGCTGCAGGAAAATTGATTCTGAGAATTGCAAAAGGGTTTGTCCAACTAACGGTTTATAAAGTTCGTGAAGGACAAACTATTGTATTTCAGAAGGTTAATGCACTAAAATCCGCACAGCCTCACAACCCCAAGTATTTCCAAGAATCACTTTTGGAGGTGTAGTAAGAATGCAAGGAGGGTGGCAACTGACAGACAAGTGCAAGTAGCAAAAAAAGAACTATTGAAAGTGAGGGCAGTGTTTTTCAAGGAAAATGGGAAATCGCTTATTTCTGTTGTGAAATAGAAGGTAAAATTACATGTCTGATTTGTGGGCAAAATATAAGTGTTCCACTTTAGGTAATTATATTGAAATTATTCCTAAATAATAAATATAATTAAATTTCCTTCTATCAAAATCTAATGCATATTTCTATTTTGAAGTGCGGCCCTCGACTATTTATTTATAGGGCTGAGGTGGCCCTCTGTACAAGTTGAGTTTGACATGCCTGCACTAGAGCGATCGCGGTGGTGGTCATATATTTCCTGCTGAACATATAGACGCTTTCAGACCGGTAGCGATCTTGCGGGCAGCGTTCTACTCCGCGGTGGCGATCAGATGCAGCTTGTCAAGTTTGACCGCTGCCCGCGTCGCCGTGTGTTAGCATGAACAATGAGTACAACAACAGAGCAACTTATTGAAGAAGTAAAATTTCATAATATCTCCCTTAATTAGGTCCAGCAGATCATCAAAGCATTCAATTGGCATCCGAAAGTAAATATAGAATCGTTCTTCGTGTTGCCGCAGTTGCCGATATAAATTATGAAATTCTCTTTCATGTTCACGAAGCAGATTAAGGTCGTGAATCCACGTTTTCTTACGCTTCTTTCTGAAAAATATATTAATTGTGATGTTAATATTTGTAATAACTTCTCAAATTTCTCCAATTATACACAGTAAAAGGAATAATTACCTTGCTTGCTGCTGCTGCTGCTGCTCATCAACTACCACTGCCAAAAGTACTTCTTCCAGACAAGATAGTCGATGCAGCGTTTACGATGTTGTGCTTACGCTATTTTTCAAAGTGATCGCT